TGCAGAGGGCCCAGGCTGGCTTCCCCACCCCACACGATAGATAACGACCCTTTGAGAGTGCATGTAGTGTGCATACAGACATGCAGGCAAAACACTCTCACACACATAATAAACTAAACTAATCTAAAAACATTTAAAGTCTGTGCTTTACATCCATAAAGTCTGGGTTTGAATCCTAGCATTGCTGCTTGCCACCAGTGAGTATTGGGCATGCTCTGATACCTCTTTGTCCTAAATTGCCTGATTTGTGAACAAGAAACAACATGAGCGCATCTATCCTTGAGGGGCAGTGAAGGTCTATGGGATCATCCAGAAGTCATGAGGCTCCAGTAAGTGTTAACGGTGACCAGCATCATATGGTTAATGGCCTCCTCAGACCGAGTTAGCTTAGCAGAGGAGAGACTGTCAACTGCCTTCCTCAAACTAGTCAGAAATCGCCACTTAATGGAGGTTTAGCAAGGCAGCTGATCCCATGCTGTGGCTAACTTTGCCCCACAGAAGGAGCTGTAGAACACTTCAGGTTCTGCCTGTGCCTGTCACGAGGAAGACCTATAGCTCTTCCCAGATTGGAACAGTTAGTGGAGAATTGAAGAACAGTGTTACCCTTCATCCTGAGGTGCTCATCTTCTCGTGCTAGTCCTTGGTCTGACCACCTAGGAACAGTCAGCCCTACAGAGAGCCTCACAGACTCAAGTCCCTCATGCTTCATCCGGGCACTCTCACGTCTCAGGGACAACTGACCCAGAGGGAAGGCGGCTGCTCTAGATGGCTACCGCGCTGCTCAGTAGCGGAAATGATGGCACAGGCAGATGGTACAGGCTCCGGTGCCCCGTCCCTCTGCCCAGCCCTGGCAGCTCATCCTCTCACTCACCACAGCTCCGGAGCCCGTGTCTCCTCTCATCTGCTCCTCTGTTAGTAAGAAGCATCTCTTGCTCTGCCCATAAAGGCCAGTGCTTTATAATCTTCCTGTTGGAAGTGGAGACGTAACAGGTCTGCTGGGAACCAGATGCAAATCCAAGAGATTTACTCAGCTCACCTTGTTGAGGTCCCTGAGCTCTGGGACAGGCAGCTCTGAGACTTAGTGTGGAAGCACCAGGCAACTGTTTTAATACCTGATGAGTTTTCTTAGGAGCACCAGGAGGGCGCTCAAGACAACTCATACAGAGTGGCTGTTTCCTGAAGACCCAGCCCCATGAACTCCTGTGACAGACGGAGGCAGGTGGGGAGCAAGAGGGTACCTAGAGATTGGGCACACTCTGTCCTGTGGAAGAGACCTTGAAGAATGCCTGTATCTAGAGAGCATCAGTGTGATCTTGCCAAGTTCTTCCAAAGAGGAATTAGGCTAGCCAGAAACACACACCAGTGCCTTAGGCCTGGGGAACTTGGGAGAGAGGATGAAAACTTTTTCTGCTTAACCCCAAGGTGGCGCTTGGAAATGACAGTGTTAGAAGGTAAAGACTCCAGAAGCAAGCATTCTCTCACTCCCAGGAAAGCCCTTGGTGACCATTTGCCTCGCTTGATGTAGTAGAAAACTTCTGGGATGTTTATTTCTGGGTCTGTCACCAAATATGTGATTGTGAAAAGTCACTTCCTTGATCTTTAGTCTTTGTTTGTATACTGGAGGTGATGACTGCTCTACAGAATCTTTGCTGTGATTAGATTAGGACGTGTGTGGCTGGGAGACTGAGTACAGTGTTTCTTCCTACTCTTCCAGAGGGCCGGATTTTGGTCCTCAGCACTCACATCAGGCAACATGGCTGCCTAATAAGCCCAGCTCCAGAGTATACAGCATCGCCATCTGGCCTCCATGGGCACTTGCACACATGTGCACATAAACACACACACACATAAAATAAATCTCGTTTTTCCAACACTCATTAATCTGGTTTATTTCAGATCGTTTACTTTATAAAATGACTGCACGTTCTCTTTTAAAAATACAAACCTTTCATGTAGAATTTTTTCTTTTTTACTATTTGAGAATTTCATACATGCACAGACTGTGTTTTGATCAACTATATTTCCTATTCCCCATTCCCTTTCCCCCAGTTCCTCCCCTACTCCACTACCATTTTTACACACACACTTGAGTCCTTTAAAACCTAAATAAATTATAATACATGGGGCTCTTGGGAAAGGACTTATAAACTTTACACACGCTCTTTTGACTTCCCCATTAGATATTAAAGGCTGGCTTTGGTGGCCCATGAAGCCTCCTCTATCCTAACACACATATTAACCTCGCCCTCCCCATGATCAAAGCTGTGGAAGAGTTTTACTATTGGGGGGGGGGGGAACTGTATCAAACTCATTGAAAGAGAGAGACCAGTTCTCCAGCCAGCACCTCAAGCCAGCCAACTTATGACCAAAATTAATCTTGCAGTCTGTGCATTTGCTTACAGCACTTGATCCATAACAGGGTCTTAAGATTGGAGATCCCGGGGCTGGAGAGATGGCTCAGTGGTTAAGAGCATTGCCTGCTCTTCCAAAGGTTCTGAGTTCAACTCCCAGCAACCACATGGTGGCTCACAACCATCTGTAATGAGGTCTGGTGCCTTTTTCTGGCCTGCAGATATACACACAGACAGAATATTGTATACATAATAAATAAATATTTTTAAAAAAGATTGGAGATCCCATCACTTCCTGGGGGAAGTGGAAGGAGGAAGCTGGGGGTTCATGGAGGAAGTGGAATGCTGCCATTATGTATAACACTAACTCTTAGCCTGACTTTTTTGCTGTGCCTAGGAAAATCTGAGCAGTATTCTAGTGATATTATTTACATTAAACAAGTGGAATTCTTCAAACAAAGTAATATTCCTGCCTGTGCTTTTCTTTTTACATTATGTCTGCCAAGTGTTACAAGCATTACCTGTAACCAGGAAACTGCTTTAGATCTAGTGAGTCCTAATAATGGGGCTTCTCTATGGAAACCATTCGTCTGGGATGTGCATCAGCTAGGACAGGCAGCCAGCAGACCTGCCGAGAGCACAGATGTGACGCCAATTTGGAAGCCCATCTGCTGTGATCTGGATGTCTGTGTATGCATGAAATTCATATACGAAGGTGATGATGCCGACGATGATGCTGACGACGATGATTACAACAAGAAACGAAGCTGTGGCTTAGAATCCAGATCCAAAGAGAAGGCCCCATCTTAAGAAGAGAGCAAGTACGGGGCAGCAAACCTGCTGTGGCCATATCTCGGACTTCCCGCCCTCCACAACCATAAAAAAGAAACCTGTTTTTATGAATTACTCAACCCGTGGCATTTTATTGAGGGCACAGAAACCAGCAAACACATCATTTATGAGGCTAATTCTGATACACAGTTAAAATGAGCGATCCTCTCTCGCCCACTCTTGCGCCTCTCCCGCTCCTGGTGAGCCCTTCCTCTTCCCAACTGGTCCTGCTTCTACCTCCACATCTTTGGAGCCTCTTAGGTCACTAAATTAGAACTAGGCAGAGGATGTCCTTCCTGTCCTGGCCAGAGTGGACTTATCCCTACCACCAGGCACAACTTTGGCTACTGACACACATTAAAGTAGTCTCAGTGGAGACTACGATCAAAACCCAGAATCCTCCTCCTCAGTTCACTAAACAGCCAATGTGCTGGGCAGTAATGTGTGCCAATGGCATTACGCCTTCCCAAATAAAGACGTGGGTCATTCTAGGGGGGAGGGGGGGGAGCGGAACAGGACTGGAATATAAAAGTACTATCTGTGGGTGAAGAAAATTTGGAACGAGTGCTGGTTTGGATCTTCAAACATTTACCATCGTGGGAGTTGAGGCAGCTATTGTATTAGTCAGTCTGAGTGCACACGTACCATCAGAACCCTAGGGTGGGTGTGTCAATCCAGCCTGCAAACAGAAACAGAGCGCCATCTACTGTTATATAGCAAAATAGACACCGACTCTTCCTCTGCCTTATCTGGGGATAAGGTTCTTTTCTGGCCTGATGACTGCAGGAAACAGCAACAGGTCTTCTGAGGTCTACAGCTCTCTTCATCACTTTGCCTGACTCTGTTTTTCATTCTACTTGCTGGGGCTGTTTGTGTTCCTGGAATCAAATCCCACTACAGCAGCACAATCTAGACAGTATATGTCACCTGAGAAAATCTCTCCTAAATAGGACGAAAAATTTCAAAACATGAGATGCTTTTATGTTTTCTAAATATAATAAATATTAAGAAAAAAATCAACCGATTTTTTTAGCGTGTTATAAACGCAGTCAATGCCCACAAATCCCAACTCCTTTCATTGGGACAACACCTACCTTAACATCATAAGGAATCAATTTTTCACCCCAGACTATGTTGAGAAGAGGGGAGAAAAATCGGAAGATAGAGCAAGAGGAAATGAACTTAATTACAGTACACTGTACAATTAATATATGCTAATAAAAAAGTGGCGGGATCTTTCAAACCCCAGATTTTAAAGAACTTCCAGTCTTGTGGGAAGGAATTCATTCCTGGGGGTAGCAAGCAGATGGCGATTCATTCCTCTCCATCCAGACCTCTTCTCCCAGGTGCTCCCAAGTGTGACTTGAAGACCAGTGTCCGAGACAAAAGATCGGTATCCTGCAGGTTACGTGCTAGGAAATGAGACGAGGTGGCCTCAGAGAGAACGCAGAGAGTAGCAGTGAGAATTCAGAGAGAACGCAGGATGCAGAGAGAACGGTCCCAGGTCTGCAGGTCTTTCCGCCTAAGCCTGGCTGACAGTGGCTTCTAGCACCTCTGACCTCCTTTCTCGCAGTCCCCGCCCCGTCTCCGCCCTCCCCTTGCTCCACCCTCTTCCTTCTAGACAGGCCTCTGAGAGGAAACTGAAAGTGAAATTTAGGGATCAGGCTTGTGCCTCGAAGCTGAGAGCAGTGGCCAATGCTGAGGATCCTGGTAAGGTGAGTGAGGCTGGGATCCCCGCCCCACGTAGGACGGCTCTCTTCATCGCCCCAGATTCGGGGAGCCCCCTCCCACCAGCGTCTCCCACCCCAACCTGCTGCTTCTCTTCTGCAGAGTTCTCTAGTTCCAGCCCTGCCGTGGGGGCTGGGCTCTGAAAGTGACTTTCCAGTGGCCTGGAAGGGCCCTGGTGAGTGGTGCCTGAGCTGAGGCAGGGTGCTGGTAAAGGTGGGAGAAGCAGGCTGTGACCTAGCCCAGAGGGGAGCTCACAAGGAGCCCGCCCCTTGAGAAACCTTGCTGGAGGTAAGTGCATGCATACATACATACATACAATGCAACCCTCGTGGCTGGGAATGTGCTCTTAGCCGGTGTGCACATCTTGAAGCACACGTGCATGAGCCTGTACTCATGCACACAGGCTGTATGGTCTAGCGTATCAGTTGTTTACTTACCACATACGCAGCCCCTCATATTCGACCACACTGCCTTGTGTGATGAATAACTGCGGAATTCCTGACTCCTGTGCTTATAGTCAGGATCAATGAAGACTAACATAAGCATGTAGCACCCGGCTGGAATGTGGCGGGTCCCTGGTAAATATGGCGTATGGGAAATAGTTGTGGTTAACTTCTCTGCACGTGGAGGCGTGAGATGAGAAAGTGTGTGGGAGAAGTCTGGGCCCTGACGGTTAGCAGGGATGGATGTGATGAAGGTGGACTTGTGGTAACAGCATTATCACCGCCAATTTTCTGTGCCTCTCCTGGAGACTCAGTTTCCCCTTCCGCCCGACTACGGAGGAGAGGCTGCTGTTACCAGGTTGATATTCTTGCCTTCTTTCGTTTCTGCCTTCCATGTCATTCTCCCAACGCGTTTTCCGTTGCATTATTTTGGGGAGTTTTAGTTTTGTCTTGCTTTTGCTTTTGTCTTGCAAACTTCCATTTTATCTCTCCCCCTCTCTGCACTCCTCAGAATTCTACAGCCTCAGAAATGTCTGCGGACAAGATGTGGGAGGACGTCACCTGTGCCATCTGCCTGGACCCCATGGCAGAGCCAGTGAGCATCGAATGTGGCCATAGCTTTTGCAAGGAATGCATTTCTGAGGTTGGGAAAAGTGGAGGCAGTTCATGTCCCGAGTGCCGGCAACACTTTCTGCTCAGAAACCTCAGGCCCAATCGACATATAGCCAACATGATAGAAAACCTTAGAAAAACAGCCCAGGATGCCAAGAAGGGCAGCCCGGAAGACCGCTGCACAACGCATGGAGAGAAGCTGCACGTGTTCTGTGAGGAAGATGGGCAGGCCCTTTGCTGGGTGTGTGCCCAGTCTGGGAAACACCGTGACCACACCAAGGTCCCTATCGAAGAGGCCGCTCAGGTGTACCAGGTGAGGCCCTAGCACAGAGATACGCGTGGGTATAAAAAGATGGCCTAGGAAGGATGCTTTGTTCCCCAGAACGGTGGCTGAGAGTCACCCCTGTAGCTGAGAAGTTGGGGAATAGAGGGTTATTTTCTTTGCTCACTGAGAGGAACTTACACATCAAACACAAGTTTATTTCTCAGGAGCTGAGGCTACCATGAGTCCACTACACGGATCATGTGTGTTGGCTTCCTGGTGAACTAGAGATGTAATGACCCAGACCCCATCCCCCTGTCAATGTAGCTCTGTTTTGTAAGACGTACTTGGTTTTCCCCAGTCTTCCCATCCCCCTCCTCCACGTCTCTACGTGACTAACCTGCTGCCTTTTTCTGCAGGAGAAGCTCCGCATGGCTTTAGAAAAACTGAGGAAAGGGAAAGAATTGGCCGAGAAGCTGGAAATGGATCTTGCAAAGCAGAGAACAGACTGGAAGGCAAGAGGCCAAGGATGGGCTGGGTCCCAGGTCTTGACCTCAAGCGAGCGTTAACCATAACTGTGCCTCTCCAAGGGCTGGGAGACTTGTTATATAGGTCACTCCCCAAGAACCATCCACACTATATCCCTAGATAGAGAGGAATTTAAGGAAGGGAGGGAGAGAGGAAGAAACTTGAAATCAGATGAGATTTCCCCCAATCTGGCACAAAGATCAAGAATTACTGGACAGCCGGGCGATGGTGGCGCACGCCTTTAATCCCAGCACTCGGGAGGCAGAGACAGGCGGATCTCCGTGAGTTCGAGACCAGCCTGGTCTACAGAGCTAGTTCCAGGACAGGCTCCAAAGCCACAGAGAAACCCTGTCTCCAAAAAAAAAAAAAAAAAGAATTACTGGACAAAGTGTAAGAAAGCCACTCCGTTCATTCTGACCTGTCTCAGTGGGTAGCACTCTTGGGATAACAGAATCAATGCTGTAGTTTCTGGGTCTGAGGTATCCTGAGAGTATCCCAGCTGTGCCCTTTAGACAAAGGCTGGCTGGGGGAAACAGCTCAAAGAGATCTATGTGAGTCTGATGTAGGATGCCCACCTGATTCAGTGGCTGCTTACTGGCGACCAGGTTATTAGTTCAAAGTCTGATAAAGAATTAAAGCCTGTCATGTTGGTAATTTGCTGGTAGAAAATGGGATACATTTGAAACTGACAAAAAAAAAAAAAAAAAAAGCAAGGGCTCACAGCAATCACAGACCCCAAAAGAGGAAGTGAGATTAGCTAAAACCGAATCAACTGTGGCTGCAAAGAGGTCATCCTGGTGACCCTCCCGTCCTGGGGCCATTGTAGTGCACCAAGGCTTAGGAACAGTGCATTACTGGAAATGGGAACAGGTTTGTTTACTCTTCGTGACTTGTTGAGATAGATAAAAGGACTCACGTGGGTGTTGCTGGGTTTTGGAAGAAATGTTGAAAAATGACTGTTGGTGCCAGAAATTGTGAAGCTGTAACTTACTACAGCTCCGGCCCCAGTGTGCCGCTTACAGCGCTGTTTCCCTGATAGTCCCAGAGGCCTTGTGTGCGCTGGAGAATGCGCTCTGTGCATGGTATGGGTGTGTGCGTTCGAGCCTATTCCTAGACATGAACAGAGGGATAGGTGACCAGGGAATAGAAACGCCTCCCCACCAAAGCCTAGGAAATTTGATTAAAAATAAAAATGTAAAACTCCTGTCCTTGCCTTGCCACCGCAGAAGAACGTGGACATACAGAAGTCGAGGATTCATTCGGAGTTTGTACACCAGAAAAACTTGCTGGCCAAGGAGGAGCAGAGGCAGCTGCAGAAGCTGGAGAAGGATGAGCGGGAGCACCTGAGAGTCCTGGGAGAGAAGGAGATTGAGCTAGCTGAGAAGAATCAGGCCCTGCAGGAGCTGATCACAGAGCTGGAGCGGAGGAGCCGAGGCTCTAACCTGGAGCTACTGCAGGTACGACCCCACCCCACCCCCGCCCCCGCACCAGCTCCCGGAGTTGCCAGATCTATCTGGAACCACTCTAAAAGCAAATGCCACCTTAATCTTTGGGATACTCTTAAATACCTGAACCGTGTGCCCAGGAGTGGCTTCCATTTCAGGAGAAAGTGCTCCGTGTAGCAAGCAATAGACAGACATCCCTGGGAAGCTGAGCAGTGCTACGTGTGGGAGCTGGAGCACCGCCCTAACACACGTCCCTGGGATGTAGTACTGCGTATCTCCAGTGGTTTGTTTCGTTTTTCAAAAAGAATTAAATGAGAAAATCCATTCTGGTGCTTAGACAAGCAGCCATGTTTTAAAGAATATAATTTATAAAACTGAACTGTGTCGTTTCCCTCCAGAGTGTTAGGTCATGGGTTTTCCTTCCTCTACTCAGCTTCTCGTTTGTGAAGCCATGGAGGGTGGACAGGAGCGTGCCCTAACGTTAGTCCGAACTGCTGCGTTTTAATTCTTTGTGTTCTCTGTGAGCCGCCTGCTTGCGTTTTAGCTTGTCCTGCTTCTGCAAATAGGACTCACTCTTTTCCCAAAATAAAGTTAGCTTTAAAATAATTTTTTTCAGAGCACATTAACTAAGAAATTATGTATTGGTGCTACAATTTTTTTTCTAATTTTTTCCCATAATGATAACTGTAGAGTCCTAAACAGCACACAGACGGCTTACTATGGTTGAGGTAAGTGGTACCGTGATCCCATCCCATGGATGAGGAAACTAAGGAGCAGAAGCCTGACAGACAGTGAGAAAGTCAAGTTAAATGTTTAAGTAGTAAGAGGCAGAGATTAAGATGACACGCGTACATACTGCTCTTAGGATCACGTAGATTCCACAGCCGTCTTGCATCTACGTTGGAACACTGTGGAGTAGATGGCCTTTCTCCCTCTTCCGTCACGTGCCTTCAGTCAGATGCAAACAGACATTTCTCTGGGGTTTGTTCAGAAAAGCCGGTCATACTGGTTTGATGTGGGAGACTTTCTCTTGCCCATCACTGAACTGGGCTCCCTAGTGCCTGTTGACTGAGCCTAGGAGCCTGTCAGTTCCAACATTGTGGCTGTCACTCTCTGGGAATGAAAATTCCCACCTAAGCTCCCTCTAAATATGGCAGAGGATTAGCCACAGCACAGGACAAAGCTTCCAACCAGCTGACCCTTCCTCCCCGAACTCCTCAAACCCATAAATGGCAAGGAGCTTTTCTGGATATCCTACCTCAGCCTTTCGTTCTCTCCCTGAAACTGCCTCTGGACTTCAGTTGGGTTTTGCTATTTATTTTCCTCTTCTTCCATATCCATGGTCACCCCCCCCCCCTGCCTCCAAGAACCTAGCCCTTGTTTTCTCAATCAGTCTTTAAATCCCTGGCTGTATCCTAACTACAGCCGTGTTGGATCCTAGATATTCTATGAGCAGTCACTTGTCCTCTCTGCTAAGAGTCAGCAGGAATCCCCTGTGGTTGGGACCGGTGCAGAGCACAGCCCCAAGGAAACATGGGTAATGGCACGTGCCTGGGGAGTTAGGTCTCAGTGATCGATCAGAAACTCCAGAATTGACTCATGTCTCTTCTCTCCTCAGGAGGTGAGGATTGTCCTAGAAAGGTAAGGAGAGACAGCCCTGTTCTCAGAGACCTGGTCCTGTCTGAAATGTTCTCTGGCCTCAAAATGACATCTCAGCTGATGACTTCTCGATGTGGCTAGACTGTATCATCTTTATACATTAAAGTCCTCCACAAACAAACCAAAAAGAAAAAGGGAGGGCGATCTGATTGTGCTGGGACTCCAGGTTCTTCACAGAAGAACCCAGCCTCCTAGATGGCTGCCTGCAGAAGTGTGTAGAACAGACTTAGTGGTGACCTCTGGCTTCAGGAAGGAATGGGGGTTTCCTTGAGTGTCCTAGAATGTGGAACTCTGAAGTTGTTTCTTTCCTTTCACATGGACATCGAATGCATGAGTATTTGTCAGTTTGTATTGAATTTAATTATCAGAGTTGTCCATGATGAATGTTGTTAGGGCCCGGGGTAGAAGACAGGAGTGCCAAGTACGATTCTCAAACTCTTCTTTTCCCCTAGGAGTGGATCCTTGAACCTGGACACGTTAGATGTTACCTCCCCGGACCTGACAAATGCATGCCATGTGCCAGGGCGGAAGAAGATGCTGAGGACATGTTGGGGTGAGGTGACTTCTAGGAACTGTGGGCTCGAACGTAAGGGGACAATGAGGGTCATGGGGAAGCACAGGATGGTAGCATGTGGAAAAGCCAGGTGGAGCAAAGACACACAGGTAAGGTCTCCTCACCCATCAGAGGAAGGGCCAGGATTGCTGTGGGTCTTTCCTCACATAGTGAGGTTCAGGGTCACCCCTCCCCTTTGAGTTCACATGAATCCCCTCACTACAGAGAGAATTGCTGGCCCCGCCGGGGCTTACCTATGACCTATCACCTTCTTTCCGCAGTCCATATCACCCTGGACCCCAACACAGCCAACCCGTGGCTCATCATCCCAAAGGACAGGAGACAAGTGAGGCTTGGAGAGACCCGTCAGAATGTGCCTGAAAATGTGGAGAGATTTGAAAATTACCCCATGGTGCTAGGTGCCCAGAGATTCACCTCTGGAAAGATTTACTGGGAGGTAGACGTGACCGGAAAGGAGGCCTGGGATCTGGGGGTTTGCCGAGAGTCTGTGCAGAGGAAGGGGCTGTTTTCACTCGGTCCTGAGAACGGCTTCTGGACCATTTGGCTGTGGAACAAAGACAACTACGAGGCTGGCACCGTCCCCCAGACCACTCTCCACCTGCAGGTGCCTCCGTGCCAAGTTGGGGTCTTTGTAGACTATGAGGCTGGCATTGTCTCCTTCTATAACATCACTGACCACGGCTCCCTCATCTACACCTTCGGGGAGTGTGACTTTGCCGGACCCCTGCGGCCCTTTTTCAATGTCAGTTTCAATGACGGTGGGGGAAACTCAGCCCCTCTGAAGCTCTGTCCACTGAAGATGTGATGGCCTGCTGACCGCACTTTGTGGATGCTGTTACCTCCTCCCTGTCACGATCGAGATCCAATGACTGCTGTTACCTCCTCCTTGTCACGATCGAGGTCCCATGACTGCTGTTCCCTCCTCCCTGTCACAACTACTGAAGGCAGTTCCCGGGGACTGTTACTTCCTGTTGGGTTCCTGCCATGCACTCTAACTTTTTTGCCCATCCAGGGGAACCATCTCACCCCCTCATCTCTTTAGAGGAGCCAGAGCCCCAGAATGAAGGTGTTAGCGGGAGCAATGGAAAGTCGGTGTCAACTGACCTTCAACATCAATATTCCTACCATGGGTTCCTTAATGACTCCCGCCAGTGAGACTGATTCCTCACAGTGGACCCGAACTCTTCTAACCCAGACAAGACCACATTTCTGTCTCCTTCGTGTGACTTCCTTTGTTTTCTTTTCTCTGTTTCTTGACTATTAACTTGGGCCACTTGCCTATCTATTCCTGTATCGTCCATGGCTTGCCAAAAGGCGTCCTAAGAAACTGTGCCTTGGTTCTTGTTGGAGAAGCCCAAATATGTGTATTTAACATTGTACATCTTTTAGTTTGGATTGGGGTTTTTTGTTACCAGAGGTGTTTTTTGTTTGTTGCCCCACCCCAGAATGCCAACACACTTCATCTGTAGACTAGGTCAGGAATATCCAGTGTGACAAACCAAAGTCAGAATAAACTAGTGAAGCTGAATGTTGCAGTCACTGTGTACTTGTGTCCCCGTGATGACCCAAGTCTAGGTAGACACTGAAATGAGTACCTGAACTAGAACACGAGTATATCCAGAGCTTCAAAAATACTGTAAGAAGATTTAAAATGAAGGATGGATGAATGCACAATAAAGAAAATTCAGGACTGTTTTTAATTCAATCAGTAGTTCCAGAAGATTTTCTGTACAGTGTGGATGGAAACAACTATGCTGCCAGAGTCAAGAAACCACAGCTGCTCCCTTGTTGCTCCAACTCAAACCAAAGAAACCTCTCTGCTGTAGCAATGCAGCCTCACGGAGACCCAGCTCAGCACAGAACTTCAGCCACCAAAGGTTAACCCGGGTGTGTGTGTGTGTGTGTGTGTAAGACAGCTAGGATGAGACCCAGCTCAGCACAGAACTTCAGCCACCAAAGGTTAACCCGGGTGTGTGTGTGTGCGTGTGTGTGTGTAAGACAGCTAGGATGAGACCCAGCTCAGCACAGAACTTCAGCCACCA